ATTCGGCGAGTCGCATGAAGGGTGCGCTGCATCCTGCTAAAGGTGTTCGGCACCTTGTGCTAGCTTCCTTGCATACGGATGACAGCTGCGTATGATTTAATTTATTTTCTGGTGCTTCACTTCCTGAGACAGTTGTAAGCACTGTTAGGGGTGCCAATCGGGCCGATTTTGGCGGCAAAAAAGTGACNCTCTCCATACGTTACACACATCTGGAGACAGGTCATCTACACGTGACTGCGGGTTCGTTTTCTACTGACGTTCAAAGGGCGGGCGAACAACACAGAAAACCCTATGAAATTCGGTTTGAAGGCTCACGCTCGTGGCCGCGTTTGGTGATCGTAGAACAGCGGATCCGCAGCGCACAGCCTCGGGTTTTCAGCGACACAACGCAAGAAACCGAACTAGAATCGCACAAACTACCAGCGAGAACCGCATGTCTGAAAATGGCCAGTCAAGCACGTCAAGCACCGCGGTCGAGGTCCCAAAAAACGCAAACGCTCGGCCTTCGGCGCGGGAGGAAAAAATCGATTTCGTCGCAACCTCAAGAAAAACGAACGCAAATACAGCAGTACATAGAGCGGGAGGGGCGGACCTTTGCCGACGCGGCCGGAGCAGCGCACACACAGCACGCGGTCGAAAGGGGCGGTGTTGCCGTCGCGCAGAAAGCGCTGGTAGAAAAGGAGCAGGAGTTGATCGAAAGTAGACAGCGCGAGGCGGCGAGCGCCGCTGCGTGCAGCATTGCTCAGGAGCGTTCTATGTGATTTAATTGGCTCGAGCGATTTTCCATCTGGAAGATCCAGGTCACTTTTTGAATTTTTTTCCTATAGGAAATTTGACCGATTGGCACCCCAAACTGTGTAACTGCCTCGAGGGTGCTTGACCATTTTAACACAACGTGGTGCGATCATCCCCCTTGCGCGGAGTGAGGGTTCTCCACCCCGCACAACATGATCTACTCGACCACCATTACAGTTACCGCCAAAAACAAACAGAGGTAAAACAAAAAACGGTAACCTGGTTGTCGAGTTCACGAAGCGAATTGGGTCCTTTGGGGGGGGGGCTACGGAATCGTCGTTCATCTCCGGAGGCCCCGCGGTTTTTGTTCCCGTCATCATCAAACAGGAACAATCTATTCCGATCCCCCTTTCTGTGGGCTGGTGTATCGGTGTATACATGTTTTCTGACGTGGCTGCTGCTGTTGCGAGCCGGTTTGGTGGATGTTCCCTGTATCTCTGCAAGGAAGCAGATGTTGTATACAGGCGTACGTCTGCCTGCGTGAACCCGGCTGCTGCGTCCAAAATAGAGTGTCACTGCTGTCGACGTTCGGAATAGTCTTGGATGACACAAACACACACACCCTATCTGTCTCGCGGGCCATGTGCCAATCGCACTTGGACAACAGTAGTGAGTCGGCCTTCTGAATCACTATTTCTTCTGGATAGCATGGAAAGCTTGGTTGTTCGTGCACCTAGACATGTACCAGTTGTGAAAACGGCGAAGGTCCCAAGCTGCGTATGCGTTCTTTCCGTCGCAGCTATGCCCGCCGTTGTGAAGGTGGGGTTCACAGCCGTCCTCCGGGTACAGTAAAATGCACGCCATGGCTTTTTCAACGCTCGGGAGTGTGCGCTGCTCGAACCGCAACACTGGCATCCACAAGGTCGCACTGCTGAACGCCACGTGCGACCCGATGAGAAGTGTTCCCGGTACCAAAGTTGTCCTGTGTTGGTCCTGTCGCGCCCGACGCTACTCTTGGTGTCTGATGCAGTCTGTCTTTGTTTTTCTCTCTCTGTCGTCCCCCTTCCATGCCTCCCTCTTCTTTCTACCCCTACTTCCACCTGTTCTCTTTCCCGCTCTTTCTGAACTTCTTTCCACTACTCCGTCTCTGTTCCTGTCCCTGTCTCTTTCTCTCCATCGCTCTGTCGGTCTGTCTGTTTCTTTGTCTCCCCCCCCCCCACCTTCTCGGGGCCCGGCAGATGGGCGGGCGCACCCGACGAGAGAAAAGCAGCATGCGGAGTTACTTGGGTTGGGGCTCGTTCGCCTTCCTGGCTACGTGGATCTGCATCACGATCAATTTTGTTTCTCGGAACAACCAAGACGATGGCTTGACGAGAAGACGAGATGACGAAATCGAAGGACAGGGGAATGTGCGTGCGGCTTCATGGCGCCGAGTGGTCGTGGTTTGCCTTCCTCGAAAACGGAAGTGATCCAACGAGCACAGAGAACGCGCCACCGTAGCAGATGATGTGAATTTGAGCCACAACAAGTCCAAAATCTGAAAAGTCGGCCGCAACAACAGGTGCTCCGTCAAGAAGCCTTTGCTAAAAACCTAAAAAGTCGCCGTGGGGGCACCCCATGGACAAAATATGGAGCAAGCCTCGGCGAAAATCGGAGGTTTTTAATTGGTGGCGCGTTCGCGTAGTGCCGAGCGCCCGACGTGATTTTTTTTTTTCTCGATTGGATGCATACGTTGTGCTGGCGGCTCCAAGCAGGGTACGCGCGCGTGTCCTGTGGTAGTCGTCGTAATTTTGGAACATATAACATAATGCCCCGAGTATCGGTGTCCGATACGCTGGCCACCTGCTATCTCCGGCGGCTGCGTGAGCGTCCTGGCGTTACTTTGGTGGCTAGCACGGAGGCGTGCTATTGTGGAGAAGGAGGGGGGGGTTATTTTCTTGAAATGGAATGGAATGATAACCACCCCAATGTGTCGGGGACTCTGCCATGTTTTTCTGCATGCAGAGCTTTTCCCGACGGCTGTGGCTGTAGTCTGCATCCTGCCCGGTCCTATTTTTATTCGAAAGGAACGACTAGCATTTGTTCAGACAGCAGCCTTTCCCAGAGACACGCGCACGGGTATCTCGTGTCCCGTGATCGTGAAACCGCTACTTCCTCGTGGCGCACCGAGGCGTTGTTAAGGCGCAAATGTGGACCGGTCTACTGCGAGTGAGCGCTGTTGATTCTGCATTGTGTTGTCGGGGATGTGCTTCTCGATTAGCTTAATCCCGAAGGATAGCACCGCAGTTACGGTGTCCTAGTGGTGCAGCCTTTAGCAACCGAAATCAAACCATTTGACTAGTCAGCGCTGTCAAACCGCACGGCTAACTTTGTTTTTGTTCAGCCGAAATCAATCAATGTGACTTGTCCGCGCTGACTATTCTATTGGATTGATTTCGGCTTCTACACGCAGTAGTTGGTTCCGTGGCGCCAAGCTTGGAGCAAGCTACTGCGATACCCCAGACCGACAGGCTAGTCAGCGCAGATTAGTCCAATGGTTTGGTTTTGGCTTCTAAACACCGCAGTTGTTCCCATAGCGCCAAGTTTGGCGCAAGCTTTTGCGATACACCCGAAACTGCTTCAACCCCACAACTGTTTGGGGGTTTCGCCAAAAATTTGGTTTAATTTGTTTTGTTTGCTGCGATATCAGCTTCGCCAGGACGCTGGAATTGCCTCATTGAAGCTGCTGGAGGGGCTGAAAGGGTGGGACTTGGTGGAGAAGCTGCATTCTATCGGCGTCGCCAATCCTGGGGAGCTGGCGAGGTTGCTTGAGGAAGAAGACCCATTTGAGGTAATGGAAGGGATGCCAAGGGTTGGTTCGATCGAAACGATAATATGGAATCGGTTTTGGCAGATATGGGGATATTCGCGTTCGGTAGTCATACGGTCGGAGTTAGACCACGGTTTCGATAATACATGGACGTGAAAACTGTCTCACGATCTCACGAGGATTAAAACAGCCGGTCGCGTGAGGGGATGTCATTTTATGCAAATCGAATACATTGTCAAGTTGGTTACTTGTGCACGGATTCCGAAACGATATCCCAAACGATGCGTCCGCCTTACATTTGGATGCGATGGGTGGGGCAAAAGCCTCCCGCTGTTCGTACCTGTCGCGCGTTCTTGCGCCGGTTGTGTGCCCTGGGCATGTCTGTGAGTTTCCTTTTAAGTCCTCCGTGTTCCATCATTGGAGTACAGAAGAAGTCCCTGTTGAAGATCGCGATGATCCAAGGGAAAACACCGGCCTTTTATCGGGCACCCGACACTGTTGAGAATACGACAGCTTGAATATTGATTACTCCATCGGTGCCAAGCAATTTCACCGGCCGTAGACAAGGCAACCGGCAAGCACCCTTCAACAGGGGCCTCTACTGCTGCACGTCATTTTTCGAACGTGGTAAGTATTGACTTTCTCGTGCCGCTGGGATGTGCAGATAGCGGTGGACTCTCCGGACAGGTTTCAGTGCCCGGCCACCGAAGCAGATCGGTTCTCGTTGCCCGACATCCGAGACCACGAGCGGGAGAAGGATTTCAAGTCGGGGGAGGGGTTCATCTACTACCAGCACCTGAGGAAAGCGGGGGGCACGGGGTTCTGCGAGATGGCCGGCAGGCGAGAGAGGCAGTTTAATTGACTTGTTCTCAGTAGGTTCGCGAGGGCATTAGGCTTGGGTTTAGCAGGGGGATAGGGTCAGCGATAGGGATACGAGCCCCCCCTGCCTAAGTGGTAAATTTGTATGATGATTCTCGCGAGGACGGTCCTTTGTTCTCGGTGGTGTTTTTTTTCGGTAGTGACAAGAGGGATAGCTTGGTGTTTTTTTCACCGCAACGAAGCGGTTGCGGCGGGAAGGCTTCCCCATAAGGACATTTCATAGCAATCCGTCCAGCCCCTGGAACTTGATCACTGCGTTGCCCGCTCTCGCGCAGAAGGTGTAGGCGGAGGTATACGCGGTCGTCCGTTAGACCTAGGCTGTGCATCACGTTGTCTCCCAAACAGAGTCGCTGCTGTGGCACACGGCTGTGTCATCGGGGAATGGCCTGATCCGTTTGGAGACCTGTGATTCATCGCCTTTTCATGCCGTTAACTCGGTGGGTGTTTGTTTACCGAATGCGCAGGAACATGCCGGCGCGAGAGGTACCGAAATACCACTGCATGCCGGACAACAGGGGTGCCATGGCGACCCCGCCGTGGTCTGACAAGCACTTCCTGCTGGAGAAGATGAAAAAAAACGTGAGTTACCATCGAGTGCTGATGCGGGTGACATGTTGCGTGGTGCAAACCAGTTTGTTCCTTTTGTCAGAAGATCAAGAGCTTGAGGCGTGTTGGTTGCTGCTGCATGGTTGCAGAACATAGTGTAGATGGTGCTGCATGATCTGGTCTGGTCTAGGAGGCCGGGACTGGAAGAAAAAGTATAGCATTTTTTTGCCGCGCATCCTTCAACGTGCGGGCGGATGGTGACGCGCGCTCTGTCGACGAGCTGCACGACGTAAGCTCGTGTGTTGTTTGTGGGCTCTTGAGAAACACGCCGCCCGGCCCATTTTTTATGACGAACGAGTGAGTCAGTTAGGCTGGTGGTTGTCCTTGGGGGAGGGTGCTGCTGCTGTATACCTTGCAGCGCAGGCGTGGGACGGAACGTGGCACATGCCACCGGGAACATACACACCATAGAATTTGTCTACGTTGTGGTTGCTGTTGGTGTTGTTGTTGTCTTCACATTAAAAGCCTTTCCGACCTCTCTACCCAGTACCTTCATCTGTCCGTACTGATCAAACACTTCGTGCCTCTTACTTGTGCGGTTTTTTAGTGTTTCTGGTATGGGGGAACCATGGGTATGTTCCACGTATAGGAGTGTGAGCAAGGAGGGAGTCGTTCGGTGGGTGGGTGGAGGGAGTTGATCCTATGTTGCCCTCCACAAAATCAGGCACCTCTTCACTGAGTGCCAATGTAAGAAGAGGAAATCGTCCGCGATTGACGTTAGGCAGATGGAACCCTTGCAAACGTCACCTTCACATCATACGTGTGTTGCGTTTGATTGTTTTGCCTTCCAGGGAAGCAACAACGTATGTAGCCTGTCGCGGGGGTCTTTGTCTCACGCGGTTTGGATACACGTTTTTATACACAAAACTTGACTCAACCATATCGCGCGGATGTCCCAACTCGCACGGTTCGCGTATGCGATATACTTCGTACGCCCAAAGCATGACTCAACGGTAACGTTATCTACCATGACGGCACGCGGCGTGTTTTTTTTACCAGGGCCACCGCATCACTGCCAACGAGTGGGATGCTTTCCCCAAGTCTCACCTCACCCTGCCGGGGGCTGTCTTTGTGACAACCTTCAGGTACGGTACGCTGTTAATATCGCGCGGCATTTGTCGTTGTTGGGGTCGACGTCGGTAGCTGCCGCTTGACGTTGTGAAAAGTGGTGGTCATTTCAGCACGAGATTGAGATTGGGGGGGCTTGTAAGCGTGCGTTTTTCCCATACTTTTTTTTCCGTAGCCTTTCGAAGAGAATCAAAGTTAGAGCATATTTCTCCACGAATTTCTTTCAATGCATGCTTCTTTCGTGCACTAGCCGGTAGCAGCAGTTGTTCGTGGGGAAGGGTCGCTTGTTTCGCCCGCCTGCACCACTCGTGAGAAAAAGCGTGGCCCGCAGCGTGTGACCGCAGCTGCTGTGCCTCAGCTTTGGTACGCACACAACCTCACATGCTGAACGTTGCTGCACCGGCCATGAACATGTCCGCGCGATGCTCGTCCAGGCATCCGGTGGATCGATGGTACAGCCAGTACCGGTTCGAGCACGTGGAGCACCGGGACGGTTCCGACCCGAAGAAAGAGCGCATGCCGTTCGACGTGTAAGCAGCGCACCCGATAGGGAAGGATAGTGAAATTTTGGCAACACGGTAGGATAACTTTGGTGCGCCGCTGGCCGCAGGATGCAGGTGTTGAGAAAAACGCTTGTACCGTGTGTGCGTATTCATCAACTTGTGTGTGCGGTAGCACTGGGGGATGGCACGTTAGTTCGTTTACTGTGGTTGGCGCCAGACCTGACGATCAGAAACGTTGGTATGCTGCAGAGTATTAAACAGTTGTCTGTCCACGGCATCGTGGCAGTATATCATGTCTTCATCTTCGTTTGGGATTGGTCCGACCGTCACCGGTTGAATATGTACGCAAGTGGAGAGCTAGGTCCAACTCAGACTATTTTCCCTTCTGTGTGCACCGAAATTCTCTGCACGTATGTCATCTCGTGGCCACCGGGCGTTCCTTGTAACATCACATTACATTACATTCATAGCGTCGACGGTGATCCGAGTTCTCAGTACATTGTCCTTACAGGAGATGTCAACGGCTAATTTTTTTGTGACCAATAAGTTCCCTTAGATTCCGGTGTCAAAGTTGGAAACGATGAACTGACAACAAGACCAACAACTGCTGTTGGCGTGGCAGGTGGTACAAACGGATGAGGCCGTACATTATGGGGGACAACTACTACGTGAAGACTTTCTGCGGCAAGCCGAACCCGCCCGCTGAGAAGCTCATGCAGGTGATCCCTTGACCGGCGTCACTGTTGTAGGCACCTAATCTCCGTACCTTTTTTTGTTCGAGAATTTTGTCTGCTGACGTGAAGTTAGCACAGACGCGGCCGGAGTTTTGTTCCCCTAAGGTGTATTGCTGTGTTTTGGTGGTTGCCGTACGTCACAAGAAGGACATTCTTTGCGCCAACAGGCGGTAGCAAAAGGTAACAGAACATGACAGCCATGTTTTCCCTGGATGACGGGTGCGCCGGGGCGAGAGTTACCCCCGGACACCCACCAGCTCACTTGTTCCTCTTGGCGGCATTTGCTTCGTCCCTGGATGGTAGAGAGCGGTCGTTTTTTTTTTCGAACAGTTTTTGTGCTCTCTTGACTGCTGCTGACTGTTGACGCACCGTGATGTTTTGTGGCCTTGTTGCCTCGTACCCCGCACTGCTCTTTCGCGCGTTTGTCGGCCTCATCTACCCAGGACTTGAACGCGAAAGGGAACCCGAAGCACACGAATGATTTATCGTGGAGCTATCACAAGTTTAACCATTGGGAAGATATGGTGAGGGCTCGAAACAATTGCAAGGGGCAGCACTTGCTGTCCCTTCTTTTTTTTCGGAGTGATGCCGGGATTACGGCCGGCCCCTCTCCGGCCTTGACCCTCCAACCTGTTTTTGTGCGCAATCATTTTTCAGACTGAACTCGTAGCTTTCCCATCAAAGCGCGAATAGCTCCCTCGAAAAGGCAAACAACACGGCACCATGGACCCCCTCCTCAAATAGTTGGTGCGCTATCCATCCTGACTTGTCCAATAATATGACCTCCCAAGCGTTGTGGCGACCGTGCCGCTCTTGATTTTTTCCACACTTGTTCATGCGGAGTATTTGGCGCGCGGCTGCTCGTTTCCTTATGTGTTGCACGTCCTCTTGCTTGTGTTTCTTGCCCTTTGTCTTTCCCTTTGTCGGGATGCGAGCACAGGTCACCTGGGAGGACCTCAAGATGGCGATGGAGATTCTTCGAATGTTCAACCTCATCTTGGTCCTGGAGTTTGTCGACGATGAGATGTGGGCGTTGGAGGAAGCTTTGGGCTGGACCCAGGCACGGAAACAGGTGAGTGTGTGTGTCATACATGACGCGGCGAGTTCGGGGACAATAGGTAGCGACAGGTAGTATCGTCGTGGCCCTCAAGCGGTACATACATGACGCCGCTATCACCGCACATGACTACCCCGTTTCTCCACACATGAGAGCCGAGCGCCGGTGTGAATCCCCTCCTCCCCCTCGAAGCCGCGAATCAGTTCGACAAATCGAAGCTGTCTTTTTCTCTCTTTTCCGTGGCCGTAAGGTGCTACCCCACGAGAACCAGGCGAAGCGGGAGGTAAAGAAGTCCATCTCCGCGAAGCAAGCGCTGTCGTCGGGGGTCTGGTGGGAGATGTTGAGCGCGAACGTGTTCGACCTGCTGCTGTTCCACTGGGCGAAGCGCATGTACCTGGAGCGAAGCGCCTGCCGCACCTTCGACGAAGGGGCCATCTTGAACCTGCCGCCGAGCATTAAGCACCAACAGGCCGTTGACGCTTGAGGCAAAGCCCAGTTGTCTCCTCGGCTATTTAGGTGCCGCAGCTGTCCTAAGAGGCTCGTGTTTCGTCTGCCTGCCACTGCCTATATGCCATTGTTTGTGTTTTGCGAAATACCCATTTTTGTCGAGCTCCCACTGCGAAATGCACTCACGGCGAGTGCGGGCGGGAGGGGGGGGGAAACGGGCAGTGTTGGATGGCACGGGTCGGAAATCGGGGTGCTTGTTGCACTGCGACCCTTGTTTCTGGCTAGAGTATTCGAGGGTTTCCGCGGTGGGGATTGTGTCTTGTCTCTACGAGCGTTTTGCGCGCGAGAAGAGCGAGAAAGGCAGGCAGCACGTGGCGACGGCGGGAGTAAATATAACCTCATGGTATTATTATTGTCTCATGTACTTGAGGGAGTCGTGAAAAATAGAAAAGGGTCTTGTCTGAAGGATACACGACGCGCTTGCCTTTGGGGGGAAATTTCTAACGTCGCTGTATCTAGACGTGTTTTGCTGCTCAAGACAATGTTCTCTTGGTGTATTAGCGAGACTCAGGTGGGGGCTGGCGAGACAGTCTAATAGCGCGAAGTACGATCCATTTATTGCAGGCATTTGGATTCGGTCAATTGTGTGTACCTTGCACCCTTAGCGGTGACAGGGTCGGTGTTAGTTGTCTTTTTGGTGGTGTCCGATGGTCTCAGTTGCTAGATTTGCCGAAGGGTCCAATGGTTTGTCCCGCTGCTGGAACTTCAGCTGCGACGAAAATGACTTGCCAATATTCCGAGAGCGCGCCGCGGTTGAGCTTCTCTTTCTCGTTGCCTTTGCAAGGCGGTGTTCTTCTGTGATGGGTCGGTGGATGGGGTCGTCGATGATCTGTTCCACGCCGTTAGCGTGGTGTTTGCCTGTCCGGTGATTGTTGGTGTTTGCCTGGGGAGTAGGTCTCGCGCCGCGGGAGACGAGAGCTGTCCAGTCAGAGAGAACGACGGTTGGAACACAGCAGTACATACCTTTACGTTTTTCGTCCCTTTTGATCTTCCTAGGGCGTCGGTGGCGGATCGACAGTTTCCGTCGTTGAGTGGCGTATACTTCGTTGGTGTGGTGGTTGCTTTTCAAGCGTGTGGTCTCCGGCAGGGTGGTGGAGATGGATGTCCGTGTGTGGTGTGTTGGGTGGGGTCTAGGCTGTGTTGGCGAGTCGGCGTTGGCTCAGATGCTGTCGATTGCTGTCGGTGGCATCAAATCAAGGCCATGGCCGTGTTTTCCTCCAAGGCTCGTGTTTGTATGTGACGTTTATTACTCCCCGGTACCTTCGCCGTGCGTACGGGTGTCATGTGTCAGTCAGTGCATTGGAGTGTGAATGATCACAATGACAGGGGGGGCAGGACTGTGCCACAAGTTGGCCCTGCCTTGAACGCGCGGCTGGTTTGCCGGAAAAGGGTTGTGCATGCTCTTCTTAACACTGCCCCATGGAGAGTGGGTGGAAATCTAAAGAGTACGAACGATTTTCGGGGGATGCAGTAGTTGGTCACAGGCAAACAAGCGGATGAGGTTGATCTACCCCTGGGACCACTACTGGAGATCCTCGAAATCGTTTGTGTGCATAATCTCACGGACCCACCCGAGGCACAGACAGACAGTTTCGACGAGAGAAGGAATTGCTCCAGTACCTGTGGTGCCAGCGCATTCTGGGAGCCTGCGACGGTTTCCATTTTGCGAGCTTATCCAGTCTAGCTCCAGAATTGACCGTACGCTCTGGAGATCGACAACACACACCTCACCATCAAATCGGATACAAAATTTGTGCTTTTCAATTGTTTTGGGGGAGGACGTATACAAGGTTTTCGACGATTGTCTACGCTTTTTACAGGCTGTCGCAGGCAAAGCCTAACGACATCACCGCGCCCCTCCCTTCACACTCCCATGTACAGCGAGCCGTAGTTGGAAAACAGCCGCCGCGGTTTCACCGCAGGCGTGCGTCCCTCCCCTTCCTCCTCCGCCACCCTTTCCTCCGCACCAACCCCTGCGTCCTGATTCGGATCGCAAACGATCCAGGCGACGGTTTTCGACGGCACACCCCTGTTGATGGTGTACGGCTTGATAGCTTTCACAACCACGGAGGCGGCCTCGATACGGGAGCCCTGTCAACCGAGACAGAGGAGACGGGGGAGCGGAGTGAGGGCAACACGTGGGAGACCCAACAGCTAGCTGTGGCTTTGGAGGGACGTTGGTGTGGCTACCAACAACGCGTACAAGCTAGCCCCAACCATGACTTTCACGCGATTATCGGCAGCGGAACTAGCCACGCCGTTCTGTCGAGCCACTCCCTCAGTCGCTCTCGCCGATCAATCGGTCTCGCGTAGAGACCCCACCGAGGGACCTTCGGCGGTTTTTGGTTGCTTTCTTGACCATTTGTGAACGCGAACAAAATGTCACGTTTTCTGATGTGTCGCCTTTAGATCGCGGGAAAATAAGAGGAGGCGAAAGAGGTGCTGCTGTGGCTTCACCGGCTACAGCAGGGCGTCCCGAGTTACGCGCAGCACATTTTCGTTGACCGGTCAAGGTCGTCTTTCCGCCCTCTCGACAAAACTCCAAGTTTTGTTTTTTTCACTAGAAGCGAGATACTACCTCGGTCAAAAAACATCGCTTTCACACAGACTGCTTCAGACCTTCGCACTACCACACCACACATCCGGTCGCCCCGGTGGTCTAGTGGGTAGCCTCGCAGCCTGCTAAGGACCAGGTCGTGGGTTCGAGTCCCGGCAACGAGAGTTTTTTCTCACTAAATAAATCCTGGTCTAGGATGAAAGCGACGCGCTGCAAAGCTCGTTTGTTAGTAAACCATAATCGACTTCGTAAGTCGCGAGGGAAGGGATTGCTGTACCCTTCTCGCGATAAAAATACCTCAGGCATGAACCGCAGGAGGGGGTCCAACCCCCCCTCCTATGTGACCCCGGTTGGGTCGTCTAGCTAGTAGAAGTGGAGGATAGGGGCCAGAGGGGCAGACGACACAGTCCAATGATGGGAGAAAAACAAACAAACAAACAACCAGAGTCTAAACGCCCACCAACACTATACCAGAGGACTCTTTGGGCACGACTGATAATAATTGCAAAAGGTTTTCAATCCATGTTATCGTTTCATGGCGAAGCCAGCTCGGCCTAGGAAGACGGTAAGATATGAGGAAGGATACTGTATTTTGTGAAGGGCGAGTCACGCACAGGCTTGAAACAAAATCTAAACAAAGAGTCTCAAGAGCAACCAACCTTTATCCGAAAAGACTAGCAGAGGATTGACTTGGACCCAACTCCAAAGCGGGCCACATCTTTGGACGAATCGACTCGGATTCGACTCTTGTCTTCCAACGCTTGCTGCTCACCTCCCCCAAGGGAATGTTTCCAAGGATAGAAGAACCCACACCAATGTGGCATCCCTTGCCGACTTTGGGGTGCCTGTTCCCAGTCTGATTTCCCGTACCCCCCAAAGTCACGCCCTGCAGAAGACACACGCCGTCCCCGACCACTGCAGTCTCGCCGATAACTGTCATGTCAGGTTCGAGCGGCGACGGGGCGGGCATCGCGTTGGTGGGGCACCGCGAAGTCAATCACTGCAATGCACCGTCTTTCCTTTTCTCTAAGCGCGAAGACTTCTCGCTAGTTTCTGCTTGCCACCGACTTGCCGGACTACCACTGTGAATAGGGCAAGTCAGGAGAAGACAACGATGGTGCGTGCTACGAATGATCATCGCCTCTTACGGAACGCCGTACCTATGTCGCAGCCGCCGGCCATGAGAATCCCTTTGCCAATTGTAGACGCCGGGTGGATGTCCGCGGCACACACCTGCAAGAACGGAGAACAAGCCGAAAAACACGCAACGTTCCACCTGTAGCAATCGCGATGTCAACGCTAGCCACATCGATAGTATATCAACTCGACTGAGGAGACAAACCAGCGCGTATAATGCAAAATGCCACAGAGCTGTTCACGAGAGGTGAAGGACATAGTGACCTGGCTGGCAGGGAGAAAGGCAAAAGTCATCTTGTCCGGAGTGGCCTTCGACCACACCCAAATACCAAGTACTTGGCACAAGGCATACCACACCATGCCCTATGCAAAACAACTGACCACATGCACATCTGAGCGTCGCGTGCTACCGCATATGTACGGATGGCTGAAGGCCCTGAGCAGAGATTGCCACCGTTTTCAAAGCGGCGAAGATATCAAAACCATGCCAATACTGCTGCAAGTCACTAAATAAACCGCTGTTTTGGATACGACTCTATGGCCGGCCACCGTGATACCAGAGAGTTTTGAAACCCACGTGGGAGGGGATTTCGTCTCATGGCTATGGCAGTTTCCGATGACATTGACAACGAAGAAGCAGAGCATGTACGAAGAAATGATGCAACTCCACGCACAAGTTCCTACCCTCTTGATCCTACAGTCGGCATCTCGAGACACACCTCAGAGCAAATCGATTGCAGATACCGGGCCAGGTTGTGCCTGTCTCTCCTCCACAGCCAGTTCATCAGCCGGTAGGTCGTCAGAGCCGTGAATCCCTTGTGGAAGAGCATCACCGTGAGCACGTCGGGCAAGGACGTGTCCTGCATGGCATGGGCCAGCAGATCCTCGGCAACAACGAAGTCCAACAGCGGCTCGTCCGCGTACATGTCGCTCATCAAAGATCTCACCTGCCAACGTGTACAGCAGTATTGCCAGGTGTAAGGTTGCTGTTCGGCTGTGTGACTATACGTGACGACTACGACAGACCGATTCAGCAGAGGGTTCCAAAGGGAAAAAAATTAGCTTCCGGGGGCGCCCAGTGAAACACCCAAGGGCCCGAAAGGTTAAAGGTTGTTCCAGAGTATCATGTCCATAGACGTACATAGTGCCTTTATTAAGCAAGCGGAAGAACTTATTACCACGGTCGATACGAATCTCGAGATCGACAGGACAATCATGGAGGCGGTCCAGTCGTGGTGCACACCTTTACGCGGAAAGACTCGCGGCATCGTAGAACAAATGGAGAGCGCGAAATAGCGGCAAACCTAGGGCTACAGACGACACAATAAAATACCTCTGTCGGCGACAGGAAGGTGGTGGCCATCTTGTCGGCGACATCGCACGAAACGGCGTCTTCCAGCGAAGTGCGAGCCAGCACCGAGCCGTGTATCATGGACGATACGTGCGACTGCTTCGACGCCTCACGGCCCTGCGTACCGGATGGATGGATGGATGGATGGATTGCGGGTTTGTGTGATCCGTGTGCATGCTTTCACGAGGCTGAGAGCGTTGCGGTTACGGTCCTCGAGAGACGACTTACCCCTGCACATCATCGTAGCTCGTGTCTGTGTCAACCATTGATACCAATTTGACTGACGTTCTGTGGCGAAACAATGAAATGATTCATGGTTCTCATGGTACAGATGCATTTGAAGCAGAACTATTGTACCATCCGTTTGTTGTGATCAGGAGTGGTGCTGTTGTTGCGTGTGCTTACCATGAAAGCGACAATTCAAACGGGGAGTGGTCTGCATGACGATGGAGATAAACGGCAGCATGCGACGCCCTGTTCAAGGAATGCATGGACTAAGGGCACCATGGAATCGCATAGTCGACGTCTACAGCTGTGTGTGCTTTCGTCCTACTCTCTATGATGGCGACTGCACTAAACTTTTTTTTTTTTGTATTTTATACTTTTCACTCTCTCATGCCACACACCTCGAAGCGGACTAACTCCCAGAGAGGGTTTTCCGAGACTTGAAGAAGCTTCACCAAATCCACCAGCGAGTGTACCCTTGGATCCTGGCGTTCGCCGCTTTCACCGCTACCACCACCCTTTCCCTCGACTTCTTTCCCGCCAGACCATCGCCGCTCGGCCTTGATGCCGATAGAACCTGATGTGCTCCAGCCAGCGGCGGTGGAGGTTCCCGCTTCGCCGACATCATGGTCATGATCTTTTCTCGCATTGGCAATGATGAGTCTCTGCTCCGAGGAACGCGAGCTCCATATGCCCTGACCACCTCGCAGTAGCCATCGCCATGGCGATTCTGATGCCGATGACCACGACCTTGTTCCTGCCCCGGGTCCTGCAATCAGAGCCGCCGTGCGACTGCTGCTCCGTCTGCTGTGCACATGTTCAAGGACGTTGATTTCGGTCGCGCCTGGAGGTACGGACAGCAGCAACAGCGCTACCACACAAGTTAGTGCTCGTGGTCGTCGTGGTCGTCGTCGTCGTCGTCGTCCAGGAGGAATCATCCTCCCGTATCATCAAACGTTGGGGTGATGGAGGTCCCGAGGCCGCTGAGATAGATCAGAGAGAAAGGGAGAGCTGCGCTGTGTAAGAGCACAGCACTTCCTACCCTCTGTCGGAGAGAGATGCGGCGTAATGTGGGGGGGGCACGCGAATTCCACCCCGGGTCGCATAGAACTATGTGCGTCGCCGCTGTCCTCCCCTTGCCCCTTCCTCGAAAAATGCCTTTGTCCAGCCGCCTGCTGAGGTCTCTCTTCGGAACACGCAGGCACGCATCATCGACCTTTCGTCTCTCTCCCGGCAGTAGCGTACGTCCCGGACACAGCACACATAGCAATCATGGAGACATGTCCTTCCTCGGCAGCCTTCTTCGGCTTCATGGGCGTTGCTTCGTCCATGGTTTTCGGAAGTGAGTGGTTGTTTTGGCGCAGAGAGAGTGACCGAACATATTTGCAGCACAATCGATGCCAGCAAGATGGAGAGAGGGATAGAGAACAGGGACGGCGTTCACCGCTAGCGATAACACTGCCGAGACGAGTTCTTCCTCTTTCGTGCCTCGAGATGTGGTCGTGCTCGGGAATGCCATCCAACTCCCCAGCTTTGGGCACGGTGTTGAACGCATCGAACACGAAATTCCGAGCCCGCAGAACGTTGTTGCGCGGCTCGCATTTTCAGCCCGTCTTGTGTATCACCAGCACACCGCACGCACACGAAAACCCCTTCTAGTTTGCCAGCGGTCGTTCCGCATCGAGACCGCTCCGTGCAAACTCAATTGCAGAGGGTGCCACACACCGAGTGCTGATTACTTACGTTCGCTGTACAAATTACTGGCTCTTCTTAGGCTATCCGTCTGAGTCCATCCGAACCGTTTGGGGCGCCAACGCTGGTAGCTCGTGTTTTTTGGTCAGCACGCGGCACGCAGCAGTAGGGAAGAAGTTTAACCTCTGTGCGCTGCGTTCGCTGGTCCTGCAGAAGCAATAAACAAGTGTGCATTGGTTCTCTCTCCGCTCTGCTATTAGTCCGGTCTGTCACCTAGCCAGCTTGTCGTTTGCAGGGCTTGGTTGGAGAAAGTTGTTCCCAACGTCACAGAGTGAATCCTCTCTCTGTTTTACAGCTCGCGATACTTTTATATGCATATCCGGGCATTTCTTGTTATACCACCGTGTTGCCACAGCAGTATCGTCAATCTTGTTAGCCCCTTATAATAGCTTACACACGGCATTGTCACCCGTAAGGTCTGTTCGTCCAGAAGCACACCCGACCCTCTCTTCCTCGAAAACGTTCCCGTATTTCGGGGACTCGCCGTCTTGTACAAGTGTGCAAGTTCACCCTGTGAAGAATGTGTCCTGTCGTTCGCAACTGCTGCCGTGTGATGCTGTATTGTGCACAACACGTTTGACGGAATTTTATGTGTCGCGTGACAGTTGACCTGGCATGGCTGGTGTTGTGCCGCTACCGGGACCTCGGTGATTCCATTAACTTGTGGACGATTTCAACATGCTTGCAAGCAACAGCACGCAAAAACTGCGGTTCAAACCCCAGTGCGACTCGTTTCTGCCTTGAGTTGGTATGTTGCCAGGCATGTCGATATTTTTACGGTTGCCTTCCGGCACTCCTATGTTTATTTTACTGAAAAAGAGTCTTGCTTGCCACCAATGTCGAGCGGTTCGTTCTCGCACGGGATCAATGAAAATCTCTCAAAAACACGGGTAGCACTGTAGCTCCATGCTTTCAAGCCACCTCGCCAGATCCTCTCGTAAGGCTAAAACTGGGGCATCGTTTCTGGGAACGCCATGCGAACATGTTCGGTGTCGGTATAGCAGCATTCTCCGGGTTTAGGAAGAGAACGGCGCGCTGCCTTTAGCGTTTCTGCCGCAAACGCCCCTGTTGAGTGTTAGAAACCAACATCATACACCTCCCTCGTTGCCTGTGCTGTCCGCCCCCTGCCCGCGTTTGTCACGACGCTTGGAACGGTACCACTATTAATAATGGAAAACAGACATCGGCGCCGCTTACGGAACCGCCAAGTCCGGCGTGGGTATCTCCTCGATGGGTGTGATGAACCCCGGACTCGTGATGCGTAACATCATCCCCGTGGTTATGGCTGGTGTGCTGGGCATCTACGGTCTTATCGTGGCGGTTATCCTCTCGGGAGCAAGTGAGTACAGCAGGAAGGGAGCCAGCTTCGGTTTTACAGCAGTTGCGGCAGCGGCACTACGTTTCAGGGCAAGACACGCTTTTTTGCGCCTGCCCCTTCTCCCCCCTCCTCGTTTCGGTTGTTGCCCCGCGCAAATGGTGGATCCAGGTGTAGGGTTGTCTAGTTTCGGCGGCTGGCACTTCTAGTAGCAAGTTTTTTCGACGATAGGGGTGTGTTCCGGACTTGCGTCGTTCCAGATTCCATTGTGGGTGCCATTAGTGTTCCCCGACGGTAACATGTGCATCCATGTTGTGGTGGGCGGAGACAACCTGGGGCAGTTCGTGTCCGACCAGCGGGATAGCTCCCTCTCGAGGCCTAAAGACCGATAGCGATGTGATCTACTCCCAACCCCCGACCTTTGGTCGTTAACAAGCGAGTTTCAACGCCTTCTTGGGCATGTTGTGTAACAAGAGAAGGGTTTATATCGCCAACGTAGCCTCTGCGGGCAGGTGGGCGCATCTTGCGTCCGAGTTGCGTCAAACGGTCGTTTCGAGTTGATTTATCTTGAAATTTTGTTGGGCTGGCCGACATCTGGCAGACTCAAAAGTGTCTGTGTTTCCTACCCGGGTCTTGTGCTCGAGATACTAATTGATCTACAATTCCGCGCGGCGGGTCGTCGTAGACGAGACACTTACGGAATGCTGTAGGGTATTCCCGCTCATTGGGTCGCCAGCACCCGGACCACCTTCCCTTGGCATATCCGCCGCCCCTTTTTCATTGCCCAGCTGCTTCTGGTGGTGATGATGACATTTTTACCCTCTGCTTGAACCCCGTCCCTACACCCCACCCAACTTGGCGATTTTTTTTTCCAGTCGGAATGCCAGGGGACACCGGTAACACGTTCTCGTCCTTCTCGGGGTACGCCTTCCTCGCGGCAGGGCTCTGCTGTGGGCTCAGGTCAGTCAGTCACTCTGCTTTTTTGCGCGCTTGTCGTCGGCATTGTTGGTCGTGTGGAACATTTTGTTGTGCAACTGTTTTTGCCTCGCATGCTTCCTTAGGAGTTTTGGGTTTTGGCGAACAATCTCGCCCCCACGGTCCTGGTGCATTGTATCGCCACCGCTGGTGTACGCGTCGGTCGGGTTGTCACGTTAGTTGGCCCACGAGCTTGTCCTCCATACCTGCATCGGCGGTTCTTTCCGTGAGCAAAAGGATGGTGCTACGCGCTGCCCCAAACTTGCTGCTCGATTGACAGCGCTCAAGAACCCGCTTGATAACCCTGTATTCCCTGTCGTTTGTCGCCCCTTTGTTTTCACCGGACAAAATGCCTCTACCTGCGGAAACTTCGCCACAACAGCGGTCTGGCAGCAGGCATGGCAATCGGAATCGTAGGAGACGCAGGGGTACGCGCTGTGGGCCAACAGGAGCGCCTTTTCGTCGGCATGATTCTCATCCTCATCTTCGCCGAAGCGCTGGGCCTCTACGGAATGATTGTAGCACTCATCCTGTCTCAGCAATCATACAGTTGCGATTCCTAGGTGTCGTATCTACAAAGTGTTAGCCGCTCGGTATCTGCGAATTGAGCAGGTGCCGATTTGTAGCTATTGCGGACTAGGCGGGCGGGTCGAGCGCCCTGAGATGCGCGAGAAATTTCCAAGCATTCGGCAGATGCTTCTCGCGGGGAGAGGCCTGGCAGGGGTCAGAGGACAGGAGGTTGGGCGGCGGGTAGATTGCATTTTTGTTTTCACCCACGGGTTGCAATGGGCCCTCTAGGCCCCTGAGTCGCCTATGGTTTCCCTCTTGTTTTTTCTCTCTTGGTAGGTGCGAAAATTCTGGTGTGCGGCCGCTTGATTATTACCCAGGCGTGTGGCGCATAAGTATCGCCTGTGCCCATGGGCATCTAAGCTGTCGTCTTTTGATATTGGGTCTCTCTCGTGCACGGGGAGCAGGCCGACACGCCTAAACTGTATACTTTAGGATTGTCAGGAGGCAGGCGGGGGTGGTTTGATGTGCAAGAAGCTACATTTCGTAGTTTCCTTCTTTTTTGGGGGAGGGGTGCTTTGTTTTTAGGCAACCTATCTGCCCGCGGCTCCCCTTACCTGGGGTTGTCTGTTCCAAATAATAGTTTCTCGAAGGTACTTGAGACACTTGCGTACCCCACTTGATTCTAGTGAGAGGGGGGCAAAGACCGCAATCGATAGCCAACGATGGTTTGGCTATTTGTTTCTGGTAATCTTTGTGGGCCGCCCCCCCGTGATCGACCGAGGCAATTGGCGCCCGCAACTGTCCAAGATTGCTTGCCGGGCCATCACGTTGACGGCACGATCTGTTGACTGTCTAAACGTTCCGACAATGGTGCAACTGTTGTGGGTGGCGGGGCCCACAGCTTGTTTCCAGCACACAAAAACAATCCAATCGCAAATTATTTCATCACCAGCCATCCGTGCTGCCTGGGGACCGAATGTAAACAAGTCTGCTTGCAACACAAACAACCCAGAGATCACACGACAGTTTTAGACGAACTCGTCAACGAAAACCTTTCAGCATAGGCCAGCTTGATGCCGTCTTGCGGAGCGTGCGCGTACTGCACGCTTATGGTTCTGCTCCCAGTTTTGCTTCTTGCTGCAAGCCTTGAACCGCTCGAGACCAACATAGGGGAGGACCTTCTCGTCCTCCTTCTTGTTGTTTCACTTTTGACTAAAAACATAATCCCGACTCTGCAGTGTATATCGTCCATCAACGAAAGTCCACAAAGTTCTTTAGGGTGACTGGCTCGCCTTTCGGGATGCATGTGAGCACGGCATGCATATCATGGTAACACCACGACTTGCTCCGCCACGTCCGCTCATGCAGTCATGACAAAGAAACATAGCACGCACAAGGGCTTTACAAACTCTACGAGCCATGTCGTGAGCACAACGAACTCTGACCACCGCAACTAAAAACCATTCAATAGTCTACATTAAAAACCAACAAACTTGCGAAGTGTTCGCGAATGGGCAAGTTCCCCATTGCCTCCGTTTATTCGATGCCCTAAAATGACTACGGCCATCCACAATGAGTATCTATCAACCCCCTCGATCTCCTTATCCCCAAGATGCGGAGTAACAACCACAGCTCTCTTGCCCCCCCCCTCCTAGCATACACGCCTTCTCCGCAAGACCACCATGTTTCGGAGAGAACGCACGTCAGAGCGATTAGGCTACCCAGCACACCTCTTGTTAAATATTCCTCACCCGGAGTTCCACCACCACAGACAAGCGGGTGTGTTTAATGTTACACGCCCGGGTTTTCTCTCTACCGCCAAATAGCCCCCCGAGCCACGCGCACAATTTTGTCACAGAAGGACCACACACGGACGTCCGAAACGCACCGTATTCAAGCAGCGCACCAAACGTCTCCAACAAGTACAACTTTGTAATAATCTCGCCTATCGCGTCAACATCAACCACCACGCACACCACGCGATCTTTAGCGAGCACACAAGGCTCTACTCGATCCGCTTAACCGGCTGCAGGCTTGCCCTTGGGCAGCACTTGAGAGAGGAACTTTCTGACCTCGGCGTATATCACGTCACTTTGTTCTCCTGAGAAGGAGTGCAGGAGGTCTTCCTCCCCGTAGAGGTCAAGAAGCGGCCGGGTAGTTCTCTCGTACTTGGCAAGGCGCTCTTCAACCACCTGTCATATTGATATATGCGAGAGACATGAAAATTGGGCACAACGGGCAGGAGCCGGGGGGGTGGGGAGGGGGTTCAATCACTTCGCTCTTGGTCGCTGGATAGTGGATCGCGGCGCTAGAGCTGCTTGCGCGGCTAGTATATGTGCCGGCAGAACCTTGGGGGTGCTGTTGTCATTAACAATCCCTTTCATTGCGGTGCCCCTATGGCCTTAGAATGTACGAACGTCTGGCCAGCATGAGGGAGGAGCAACGCGCTTTTACCCAACTGAAGTGCCGCGTCGAATCCGCTTGTTTCCACGAACAAAATGGGAAGCCTCGAAATCAACCGGTCGCAGACGCACATACGTCGCGCCCGCCCAAAGTTGAAGATACCAAATCAGCATTATTGTTGATCGACTCCTGGCGCCCTACCGTTCCCTTCGACGCCACAACGTGCCCCCCTTTGTCCTATCTTTGAGTCGGGCTTCTCCAGCACATATCTCTGCAGTTGAGTTGTGGGATAAAACACGCAGACCTGCATTCATTCGCTGCCTCCGGAAAAAGACAGGCGTGGCGAATGCTATATGGTCAGCAGCAACCAACCGGCTGCGCCGCCTACTGCAGCAGCAGTGAGGTAGCTCTCAGAAAACGCGGGATATGTGTGGTGCGCGTAGGTCGGCAGCAATCTCACCTCTGGCTGGTCGTCGTCTCTACGGACGAGCTTTTCCCCCGTGACGTCATCTACCCCGTGCTCCTGACCAACCAGTCAGCGAGGTGTTGGATGTAGCAGCGCCCAGAAGTGGAGAAGAGCCCATTGGTCAGAGCCAGAAAAACACGCCCAGGAACACGAGAAAGGGAGCAAGCACGAATAGAAATACTTGAAAGTCAGGGCTGGGGTGGATGCTGAACGGCAAGCTTTTGCTTGAAGTTGCTTTTCCACCAGTGGTGGGCATTTCCTTACGGCCGTGTCTTCTTGTTTGAGTGGTGGCACCGTGTTTTGGGTTCATTGGTGACTACGTACGATAATTCGTTTTGTTGCCTTCAAGAGGAGGGAAGAGGACGCACTGAACCGAGGCCAACAGAGGATATAAACATCAAGACAATAACAAAATTGACGGCCCTTACAGTAGCACGCTGGGTGTTCGTTGCCCTCGTGAACCGCCAAACAGCTGTAAGTTCTCTTGGTGCCATCGTGTACTTTGGTGACCGTCCCCCGACAGCAATGCATAGAGTTGACGGACTGCCGAGTGGTAATCTGTGCGGGAAGATCAGTCCGCACACTCACAGATAATATGAGACTCTCAAACGACCATTACATTAGTAAGGCGTGTATCCCAGAGCCGGGGAAACGGAAAATAAATTGAAAGCACATTTGAAAGCACAGGGGGCGCCGCCATGTGGTAATGTCGATCAGCAGAACCACCGTGACAAGACTCATCGATGGACTATTGTATGTACACGTATGTCGTCCACACCGACACGAAACGGCTGCCTCGGGCCCTAAGGTTGCTTGCGATCAGTACCAAAAGAACGTGTACAATGATCCGATGGCGTATGCAACAACCCGAAGACTGTTTCGATGTAGCGCTGTGTAGGTCCTCACGTGCCGACTGCTGTATATGGTAGCGTGAGACGTGGCGAGGAATCAACATCAATAATTCCAACACGACAACAGCGACGAAGAGAAAGGATCGTCCGAACAGGCGACAATTTGAGAAGCGTTGGTATGCATGAGAGAGAGTGACTGGCGGGGGCAAACATCAGTCGAGACACTTGAATGTCTCCGTTAGGGTGATCTTGCAACTAGCATGGGCACCAACGAGTAACATCACCCAGGAAAAATGCCGACAAAAACACTAACGTAGATAGTGTACCTTTGGGGGGCGGTAGGCGTACGCATAGACCCTGCCAGATCCAGGGTGTATCCAACGGTCCGTGAGGCGATCGATGATAACCTGTCTGGGCACGTCCAGGTTCATCACCATGTCCACTGGCAGGTGATCCTTAAGAGCTTTCGCCTGAGTTGTGGACCTACGGGCATCAATACACCAACCGTTGTGGTGAGCGTCGTTGTCCCCGCCAAAGCCGAACTTTTCTTCGTGAACAGATAGTATCTGTCACCCGTGTGGGGGGAGCCTGACCTCACAATGGTTGTCGAATGACAAGGTCTTGGCTGAGCAAAACGAAGGGGTACTGCTGTACAGGCAGTTGTGCAACCAGGGTTAAAACAATAGCAAACGCACGGGGCCATCGGTGGTGCCAAACCCTGTGTTGCGGGGGCCTGGCAAAGTGAACTTTCTCATGCCGGCACCAAGCGAGGCACGCCTGCCGAGGGAGACAAGAGCCTCTGTCGAAAAAGCTAAGCCTGCTCGGTCAGGTAGGGTTTCTCGCCAGCAGCGCGACTGAGTACACGTCGAAAACAGAGCCGCAATCAAGACAAACGCCGCCTCCCACCTTGGAAACCCATCGAGAAGTATGTGCTTTCCGCGGCCTTTGGCTCGCTCGACCGCAGCCATGAGCACCTCAAAAATGATCTGATCAGGGACGAACTTCCCCTGGTCCATGAACTCCTTGGCCGTCCTACCCGTCTCCGAGCCGGCTTGGATCTCATCGCGAAGCAGGTCCCCCGTGCTAATGTGGGCGAAGTGGAAGTCTCGCAAGATCTTCCCCGATATCGTGCCCTTTCCACTCCCTGTGCAAAATTGCGTGATGACCGTTTAAAATGGAGAGAGAAATATTCGAAACGGCAGTCCAGATGGTTGAGAGGGATGTTCAACAAAGAGCCAACTCGGGAGCAAACGAGAGTGGTCTTGATTCTGTCCATGACTTGATGTTCTGACGCGTCCAACGCGGTGTAAACGAGAACAACACACGGGAAAGAGAGCTGCAGCTCTAGCTTGAACGTTTGACCGAATAACGGAGAGTACACCTCCAACAGGAAACCATTGAGAAGGAGGAATCAACCCCGATACCAATGTGGCTCACCACACTGCCAACCGCGAAGAGCCCAACAGGCACAACTGCTGTAGGTCGCAGCAGGGACGTCTGAACGGAAGCACCTTTTGCTATCATTTGGACTTGCGTCAGGGATGGGCGTGGACGTGTAGCTCTGGTAGGCTTGTTTCAAGGTGAAGTTTCATCGCCCATTGCAATGCCTCTCCCGTATTACACGTCAATGTACGTATCGGAAACCAATAACGGCACATCGGCAGAGTTGAAGTCAAGCTCGTTCTTTGGTGTTGTTGGACGCTCTGAATCAACAAGTACTACATGGAACGCCAAGGCTTGAGTCCCCCGCAGAGTAACAGCCACCGGTGCGATTGCTTCTGTCGCCGGTGACATCATGTTCCATGCGACACACGCGTACGCCGGTGCTTCGCTGCTCTCTGACGCTTGGAATAAGGTTGCCCCGTCTCGGCGAAATTAGTCCCGATACACGCTGGTCTTGCTCACGAAAACCAGCGTGTAGTAAACTCTGCCAGCAGACATCCCCGCACAGATTGACGTCTTGTTTGACTCAAACACAGCTCGAGCATTCGACCGACCTGGAGCTCCCATTATGACCGCTGCCATCTTCTTTATGCCTCTTGTCTGCAGATGCTGATGTTGATGTCGCTGTCTGAACGAGCTGCCTCGAATGCCAACTAGCCGGAAGGCGCCACGGGGAACCGTCAGCACCATGGTCGGTCTTATGCGAGGGGTAAATAGGCTTGGCAAGCTACCCTAGCCCTTGCAAACTCGCCGCGAGGGACGGGGGGAGAGGGAGGCAGAGGGAGGCTCACTGGGTTAGGTGTGCGTGTGTGTGCGAGATGCTTCTTCGCTGTCGAGCTCTTCTGAGATGTCGATGCGGCGGAATATCGCAGCAATGTCCCACGAAAGGGTACGGCAGAGGTGGGCGAACCGCGAACCGCCGATTCTCAGAATTTGAGCCACGGCGCGTCGGCCTCTTAGTCAGAGGTGTGTAATAAAAGTCGAGAAACATGCATACAACACTGGAAGACTATCCGTTCGACACAATACCCCAGTGGAGGGGGTCTGTCGGCGTTTTTCAGTGAGTGGGGGGAAATGAACCAACCTGCCGTAGACTGCTGTTGTTTACAAAAGCCCGTACAGCTCTTGTAGACATACCCTTTCCCGTCATTGAATATCGCGAGTTCCGATTATGATCTAGTCTAGTCTACAGCATAATGGTAACACGATTCTTGGCACGATTTCATCATGAATGAATGTTCGAGGCAACGAGGCCGAAGCCTGCGTACATGAACCTGTACTAACATCGGATATCAGAAGACCAACACGTTGCCTGTGCACACAGCGTCTTGGGGAGCACTGGAAAATACCACTGTTTAGCCGTGTAGCCCGGGTAATAATGGTGAGCGCGTGCACTGCTGTCGCCGATCCACCCAAAATCTGCATTTATTTGCTTGGGGCAGACAACACGAACTACAACGTATACTAAGACCGACCGAACAGCTTGACATGACCTGCTACGTTTCTCCCGGACGTGCGGAAGCCGATACAGATGCCTTCGAGTTGACTGCGATGTGTGTGCAGTAGTACCTGGCATCATACGACCTACCTGTACCGCACACCGACATTGCGTGCGCGTCTCTGTTATTATGTACAGGCGATTGGGACTTGGTAGAGGGCCACTTGGTGTGACTGCTCGCCTCGTGGTAGCGATCCCCTGGTTGTCACGTATCCAGGGCGGCTGCTAGTTATTAAAGGCGGGTATATATGTCATTCGTCACACTACGCACATGATGATTGACGGCGCACGACACTACGCAAAATGAAAGTTCGAAATGAAAGATATTAACAAGTTCGGCAGAGCCAGAGCCACCTGATACAGGCAACAAACCGTTCGTCATCAGTCTTGAATCCATTGGTCCAGTGTGACGTTAAGCCCACGCAAAGCACGTGAGCGTGGAGAACAAGCCAAGGGCAAGAGGTTGGCCTCTGAACTGATCGTTGCGATACAAAGTTCACTCTTAATTGGTCACGATCCCAAAAATGTCACAGATCAGCCAGCCCACAACGCATAGGAACACGACAAAAGTCTACAGCAGCAGCAGGAGCACCAGCATAATAAACAAGAACAACATCAAATAACCACATCACGACACCTCCAGAGAAAAAAACACGATCACTTGATGCATGTGTGAAGACCTAAGAATCTAATACAATCTCCCCGTAAAGCGCTTCGAAGTACGCACAACGACGGCGGGTAAATTCAAGGGTTCTCAAAAACCCTGTTGCCACCTCCGCTTCAGTACAGTTGAAGCCATACAGCAGTTGTATCAAACAGCCACATAGACTGACTTATATACCTGGCAAGCTAGGGCAAACGCTTCCCAGCAACAACTTTCAACTCGATACACCCGCCTACCACACAGAAATACGAACAGTAGGAGGGTTCAGCATGAAAAGTCGTGGACAGGTAAAAAGCTCACCTGGCACCACCTAAAACCTAATTGCGCTGCGTCATCTTCTCTCTCTATCGCAGAAACAGTGCAACAGCATCAATGGCACCTCATATACAAGAGGAATATACACCAGGATTCGGCTGAGGGAGGGAGGGGGGTGGGGGTTCTCCCCTCGTCTTTTTCCTCCTCGTTCCATTTTTCTTGAGAAAGACACATGCGAAAACGCCCGGACAGAGCACGTCTCGGAACAAAACTGTACACACAAACGAAAACCAAAATTGAGAAAGGATCGTGCGCGGCCTCACGCGTATTGCACAAACCATGCCGAAATTGAGACCAGATCGCACGCAATTTCACGCTGAAACACAAGCCACGCCACACTTCATGACAACAGGCCCGTGCACCGCAACACAGAACTGGATGCATGGGAAGCGGGTCAACACCCGGTGTCAGAACTCTCAATCTCGATCGTGTCCACAATGCGAGGCCACGCCCCCACTCTCTTGCTTGTTGACAGCTTGACAATGACGGGGGCGGTCCTAGTCATTTTGTTGGGAGCTTGATCGTCCTCTTGCGCGCCGGTGTTGAGCGCGGGAAATCACTCCGAGTCCGTCAAGCTTCGGTTGCACTGACGACAAAAAGGCGAGAATGACGAGAATACGCAACGTTAGAATGTGCCAGGGCGTTGCTCAGGTAAGGATGAAAGATGTCTACAGTATACCCTCATCAGCTCCTAGTGCAAAGGCCTCGCGTTCAGGTGAGTTCTTGCAAGCACATTGATCCGATTTCTGACGCCCGTTACAAAGGAGCCTACAAAAACGGGAGTTTCGAAACATTTTCAATTTGTACACCATACGGGTCTGGGTGTATCGATGTGTCAGTTCGTTTATTTTCTCCAAAACCTCACCGATTCGGTGTAGAGGAAATTGTGACGCAAGCATGCGCTCCCGACGTCCTGGTATTGCTGAAGGGCGTTCGGTCTCCGGACAAGGTACAGACCCATTGCCTGTGGATGTTTAAACGGAAGGACCGGGGTGAGTAGGGTTTAGGGAGGATAAATGACAAGAGGGCGCTTGAACGTTTTGTTTTATATTGAAAAATCGTTCAGTAAAGGCACCGCAAGACACAGATCAACGCGAACTCCTACTCATCCACCCTTCCTCCAGAACAAAATTCGGGCCACCTCACGGTCGCATCCAGAAGAGAAGGGAGGCGCACGATTCTTCACGTGAACAAGGCATCACAAGCACTTTTCTTACCTCTGCAACCTCGCCGAAAGGATCTCTGTCGAGAACGGTCCAGATATCCCTCTCATCCGTCATCAGGGCAATGCTTGAGGTAACCTCGAGGAGTGAGGACACACACTCCTCCCACTCGGCCTCTTCGTCGGGAGTGGGGGATGGAGAGCGTGACCAGTAGGGCTTGAGAGATTGTGCCAGCTTGGGCAGGCTGTGCTGGTGGGCAAATTTGTCGGCCAGGTCGGGCGCGCCCTTGATGAGGATGTGCACGTACCTGTTCGGCAGAGCGAGAGAGGGGGGGGAGAGGGAGGCACAGGTGAGAGGGGGCGGCAAGGACTAACGGCCTGGCGGGAAAACACAGCAGTACTGCCTGTTGATGCAACGAAAACGAGTAGAGTCCTGGATAGAACTTCGGCACAAAATGTGCACATGTAGGCTAGATCCTATTTTAACAAGCTGGGTGCTGCCGGATAAGTCTACCGAAGCAAACAATCGGTGCGCTGCTTCAGGAATGTTGCTGTGATCGTCCATGGCCAAGAGTGCAACATGACTACAGTATCTGATCATCGAAATGTGCGTACTCACCCTACTGCCAAAACCACCCGACAGGCGTCGAAGGACACGCCAAGGGTGTGCTTGGACCCCGCCACGGCCCTGGCAAGCTCATAAGCCTTCTCGAGGAACACGGTATCCCCATCGCTAGCAGCGTAGCCGTGCAACGCTGCAATAGCGCCTTGGAGAGCCGGATGGTCGAACTCTTCCAGCGGGTTTGTATCGCTCCTGGTTTTGGTAGGTTGTATTTACAAGAGTTTCAGTCGATGTTGGCACGGGCATGTCCGTGCTCTTCGGATACAGGAAGGGCCATCAGCAGCAGGAGCCAGCGGCGCAAAACGTACAAGGGACAAGTTTTCATGTTCAAGAATCATGCACAGATTTTCCTCTGGCCTTTGGTCGTCTCAGCTACCTCCAGTTTCAGTTTCCTTGGATAGGTCAGAGGCCCAAGTCCACAAGTGACTCAGAAGTTCAAGTTGCAACTCAAACAAGTTGTCGTTCCACGTGCAACTGCGTGGTGCAGTCTAGACCAAAGGTTCAACAGTTGCTGAGGACGGGCCATCAGCGGCAGGAGTCTGCGGCGTAAAATGAAAGCCCAGACACACGTTCGTGGTCAAGAGTTTGCAAAACGGTCATCTCATCTCCGGTCGTCTGAGTGCCCCCCAGAATCGGTTTTCAAAAACAAAAACAGAGGCCAAAGCCAACAGACCAGTGACTCAGAATAGGTCATGTTGACACATGCATCAAGGTGTTGGCGCATTTTGTCACTGGCCTATGTATCGTAGTCTAGGCCAAAAGAGCGCTGGTAGATGAGACCGAACATGGCAGTCTCTACAAAACTTCCAAGAGGCTACGAAAGGCACCAATGCACGTATCGCATAGTCGGGGAGACCAACCCTCAGTCTTGCAGCCGGCTGTAAAACTCACCCCTCATTGCAGGACTGCTGTTGCCGTCGGATAGCTGAGGAGCGTTGTTCGAGTTGCAGCAGCAGGGTGTCGTCGATAAAGTCTACAGTTGATGCGCCCGCCCCCGACCGATGTCGGTCCTCGAACACGAAGCCATCATCTTCCCCTTCCCATGACGCGACGGAGGACTCATCCGAGCTGCCGAAACTAGCAGGGCGGGAGTCAACTATCGTCGCTAAGGTGGAGTTGGTGGTCGTCGTGGATGATGAGGATGCTGTCGTATGTGAGAGGTCGAGCGTGAAAGATGCTCCTTTCCCTTTTGCTGTTGTTGGGGCGATAATATCGCCGGAGTTACGCAAGGCGCGTTGGAGGGAAACAGTTTTTCTGTGGACCGGTGATACTGGCGAGCCGCCGGTGTTGCTGTGCAGGTTCTCAGGGGTGTCCTCGAGAAGCTTGAGCGCGAGCCGCGCAGTCAAATGCTTCCGGGGTTGCCGTTGTTCGGCGTGGGAAATCATGAGTGCGCTGCTGCTGCTGCTGCTGCTGCTGCTGCTGCTGCTGCTGCTGCTGCTGCTGCTGCTGCTAGACGATGCTTCGGGAGATTACAGGAGGAGAAACAATGTCGTGCGAGTGTGGATGTAAGTGGTGTCAGTTGCTCGGCGTTGTGGTGAGATGCGGATGCACCCCGCTCAGAAAACGGTACGGGTGACTCAACGGGCCGACACGTCACTGGCGACGGACTGTCATAGAGTTCAAACCAACCAATGAGTCGGCTGCAGAGTCAACCCAGCGAAGGGCCCGCCAGGAGCCCAGGAACAGCCCCCCAAAGATTTTTTCGCGGAGCCTCTAACTCCGCCCGGTGCGTCGCACCTCCCCGCTTGCTTGTTCAATGTTCGCCTGAACGAACTCTGTACTGTTGAAGTTGTGACTGAAAGCCTTCATCTCGCGTATCGGAGATAGCAATGGTCATCCGCCCGACCTACGGTGCTCGGCTTCGGCAGGTGCTGTGGCGGACTTCTCCCGGGTGGGTCCAACGTGTAAGCTGTATTCCCTTGAATGATATGTATGCACGTGCACCTACCGTCTTATCCTACAACCTGTGAGTAACATGCCTGCATCGCACACTGTAGCACACTGTAGCACACTTGCAGGCTTCTGCTGCCTGTCATACACGACCTACCCATTCCCCCCTGAAACATGCGAGAAACAGACGGGTTTTTGGTTGAGGATGGTGGGTGCGGACTCACGCATCTTCAAGTGATAGAAGGTTCGTCTGGCAACTGGCAACACATCGGTCATCAGCACGGATCAAAACACCCGAAGCATCTCGCCCTTGTACCACAGTACGACCTCAAGTTTCCAGCTCTCCGCACCTTCCCAGGAGGTGCTCGAGTCGAGCAATATCACGATGTCACGGGTGGATCTATCCGTTGAAATCGCCGGGTGTGAGAAAGTGGGTGTTGAAGACACACCGCTACTGCTGTTGTTTTTCCTTTACACCGCATCTCCTCTGGACGACTCTGAGGCTACAAGTACTGCTGTAGTGGACCCTGTTTTTGAATGGCCGCTAGTGCCAAATAGTTCGGTCGGCCTCTTGCCGGGCACTCAGCACAGTTCAGAGTGTGGGGCAACTTGAAACTCGAAGAGTATTGAACATTCCATGGGTGTAGCGCGATTTCACCGGGGGCTTTTAAGATGGCTGAAAGGCTTTATTTGTACAGCAGTGCGGCCTTACATGTATGCAGTGACACCCAAACGTTTCTCCCATGAGTCTTCGATCAATCATCAGTGCTACCCGCACCCGATGATGACCCCTCTCCCTCCCCGGCCGGTTCCCTCCCTCAAAGAACCACCCTCGACTCGCGACGTGTTGAAATTCAGGATGCCGTCATTGTCAGCATGGCCCGCACACCCATCGGCAAGTTCGGCGGCGGAATGTCCGCGCTCTCGGGCCCAAAGCTCGGCGCTATTGCCGTCCGCGAAGCTGTGGCCAGAGCGGAAGGTACTACGCCCGGTAGTATATCTTAAACTAGACTGGAATCGTGCCTACTTCCATGGATCGAGGTGTATCCCCTGCCCCCCCCC